ATGTAAGGGGCATGTAAGGGGGCGGCCTATGTGCCACGGAAGTCACGTGACTTAAGGCTTGGCCAGAGAGTCTGCCTATAAATGATACTAAAACATAAATCCTACACAATACAGTTGGCACCCAGTTTAGCGCTTGAATGTATATCTCAAAGAGTAGGCCAGCTAACCCCACACAACCCAGTATATCATAATTCTAGACGGTGATGTTAATACCATTCCTACTTTCGTCCTCCCATATATTATTTGCAATGAGGTCTCCCTAAAGACATGACTTCGCCAGCTGTTTTTTTTATTAAACAAGCAGCTGTTAAGTCACAATCGATGACATCAACACCCGTCTCTTGTAGGTCTTCTACTTTTTACACGTCCTGTTCCAATATAAGCTTTCAAAGTTGTTCACATTATAAGTCAATTAAGTCAAAGGAGTCAAATGGGAACCTTAGTTCAATTGTTAATGTTACACTGCTTGTCTAGCACTATACAAAAAAAAAAATCCATAACGTGCAAACAGATGGCTGGACGGATTGACGGACACAGACACAGACGTACATGTGTGTGTGTGTGTGTGTGTGTGTGTGTGTGTGTGTGTGTGTGTGTGTGTGTGTGTGTGTGTGTGTGTGTGTGTGTGTACTCACCTAATTGTGGTTGCAGGGGTCGATACTCAGCTCCTGGCCCCGCCTCTTCACTGATCGCTACTAGGTCCTCTCCCTCTCTGCTTCCTGAGCTTTGTCATACCTCTTCTTAAAACTATGTATGGTTCCTGCCTCCACTACTTCACTTGCTAGGCTATTCCACTTCCTGTGTGTGTGTGTGTGTGTGTGTGTGTGTGTGTGTGTGTGTGTGTGTGTGTGTGTGTGTGTGTGTGTGTGTGTGTGTGTGTGTGTGTGTGTGTGTGTGTGTAAGAGAGAGCGCTAGCCTGGTATGTTATCATTAATTCCTCGGCTGATTCTCACTTGAACACGTTTTCACACCAGACATTTGAGAAATCAAGTACACTGCTCGAGTGAAAGCTGAGGCTCACAAAATGGCTACGCGTTTATATTTTATATTGTTGCTTAATCCTAAAGGGAGTGTACACGCACGCACGCACGCGCACACACGCACGCACGCGCACGCACGCACGCACGCGCGCACACGCACGCACGCACACACACACACACACACACGTACGAGTTTTCCCTGAAGCAAGTTTATTCTTTTCTCTGAGGATGAGGGTCCCAAGGACAGTTCTAAAGGTGGTACCTCCCTATATATATTATATATATATATATATATATATATATATATATTATATTATATATATTATATATATATATATATATAGGGAGGTACCGCCTCTGGAACTGTCCTTGGGACCCTCATCCTCAGAGAAAAGAATAAACTTGCTTCAGGGAAAACTCGAGGTTCTCCCTGAAGCTATTTGATATATATTGTATTTAATATATATTTCATTTAAAGACAAAATACATTGACAAAACATTCACAAAAATACAACAGAGAGTAAAACAACCTAGATAACAACTCAGAAATACATCTCGAATACTTCGTCCAGCTCCCTGGCGGTGGGCCGCGTGCCCAAGATGCTGCAGGCATTTCCTCTCTGCATCGCGACACTGAGTCTCTGAAAGAGGAAGCTGGTCGCTCTGTGGTCCTTGGTTTCTATGGTGAGCTTTTCATGCAGCTCTTTGAGGAACTTTAGAGAACACTTGCCCCATGCTCCAAGGGTCTCCAACCCTATTGGGATGAAGTTATAGCAAGGGGGAAGGTCTTCACATTTGCGGATCTTCTGGGTCTCCCTGTGGCTAGCAGCTCCACCCCCTTCAGCTGTGGAGTATGGCAAGTAGGTGTCTGCCAATGTGGCGGCACAGGTGTAGTCCCAGGCAATCTGCTTTCCACCCTTCCAGGGTAGCATAGTGGCTCCATCAGGACGCTTTTGACTTCCGTCAGACCTCTGCACTTGGGGTTCCCGTTGAGCTGGGCAACGGGTTGTGGCGAGGCTTCTCTTTATGTTGCATCTCTGTCCATTTACCTAACAAGAGGTAATCAGGTGCGATCCTAGGAAAGGAGTAGCACCAAGTCCTTGCATCAAGAGCCTCTCACGGCATCAAAGTACCCACCCGTAATTGGATCAATATAGTAGAATCTGACTATCAAAGAACAGGAAAAAAGAAGGTGGGCGCCTTCAAAGCACTGGTTACGGTGGCCAGAACCTCTCTCTCATCAAGGTATCTGGGCACCTTCACCATCTGGCCACAGCCCTTCCTAATCTTACTACTCAAACCCTGGTAATTATAAACAATAATATACCTTTGATATACCAGTGACCGATTTCGAGAGTTTTTCCACCCTCGCAGCCTGGTCTGAGGCCTGGCTTTTCTGGTGATCGTGACTGGCTGTTCAATCATGTTGTTGGTACTGACGGGCAGCTGGCCCACATATCCATCACAGCCTGGCTGATCTGGAACTTGGCGGAGGAAGTAATCGTATATTACCACTAAGTTTTTTTTTCTGAAGATCTTTACACTGGGGTAGCCTTTAAAAATGTGCTCTAAAAACACACTAAAGTTCGTAAAATTTATATCAAAGGTTGAAGATTTTCCTTGGATTAACCACCAGAGAATAATCCAAGGTTAGATCTGAGGAGGAGGAGGAGGATGGAAGCTTTAATTAGCTGAAACGAGTCTTTCACCAGGATGAAGGACCTCAAACCTCCCCATACTATCTTGAGGCTCATCTTACTACGTTTTACGAAATAATTATAATTTAACTTTCCTTACTATTTGTAAGTAAGGTTGTTAATTTTCAGGATTTGCTTAGTTACCCTTCATTATATATTTTTCAAGAGAATTTACATTTACTGTACCGTACTGGGAGCACAACCGTAACCGTAACCTAAGTGCTGTCTCAACATCATGATAAAGCTAAAGCAAAACACTTGAACTTTAGTTACTGATGCTTCTAGATATGAATATTAGTGGTTTTATTTCATATATTTATACACTGTTTTCTTTGCTTTAGATCCTTATTCTCACATTATAATTTTTACAAGCTCTGACTTAACAATTTCCATGTGGCTTATCTGATATTAGGCAACCATAATTTATATTTCCTAGAGGTAGAACCCCTACACTTTTCTACGCTGAAATGTATATACTATACTATGGTTACAAATCCATTTTTGTCTTTGTACTTTTTTAAAATCCTTCATCTTATTAACTGTCCTATTCTTGTGGCAAAGGCCAGTTTACTAATGTTGCTGCTCTCTTCTACATATGAAAATGTAACGAACATTTGTCGATGCTAAGTGGAAACCCGCATGTCTTATTACTTAGCATTGAAGCACTTAGTACCGAAACATGGAAACTGGTTTTGCTGCCATGAAAAGTGTTGTGTGGCGCTGGTGTTGACAGTGTGACTCTGCAGTGTGAAGAAGTGGTCATGGCGGTGGTGGTGGACATTCCTTGACGCTGTGTACGCCACTGTTAAGCTGGGAATTTTTAATACATATTTAGTCTCTCTGAATTCAAGATGATACAGCAGCTTGCAAGTTTTCTTTATGTCAACTGTTTTGAACAGTTTTATTCCTAAAGCCAACCCCTATGCGCTTTATGTACCAATATTATCCGAAAAAATGACGAAAAGAGCACACAAATATTGTAGTAGTTTAAGCAAAGCAATATTAGGAATATTGCAGGAATGTGGCGAAGAAAGTAACATTTGCGTCACAAGAACACAAAAAGTAATGACTCAGCACACGCATCACCTCAACAATTGCATTACAACACACAAAACAGAACAAGAACATAATTTAAGTTGGCATTTCCCTCAAAGGTCAGGCGTAATTGTGAATTACACAACATACTCTTCCGAGACTCCCCCATTACCTGTGGAGAGAGAGAACATGAGGGTCATCAGAAAGCCCGGGTCAAAGGTCACACCTCAAGCAACTCTGAGACCAGAACAAAGAGGAAGAAAAGGCCATCACAACGGATATGTTCTGACACCACGCTAACTCCAGTGATTTGTAGTACTATCATAGTTTTACAGCATTAGTGAAACTAAGTAAAGGAAAGAAAAAACTTTAAAAGCTCAATATACAGGCTAAATGATGTTATCCTACCTTACCTTATTTCATATCTTAGCCCTAACTATAATATACTATCACTCTCTAGGGTGCGACCCACAGCAATCGGCTAATATCAAGGCGAGTGTAAAGCCTACTTCGTAACCCCCACAGATCAATAAAAAAAATTCCAGCCTGATTAAAACACAATGTAAGTAATATCTGTTAAAATGATAATTTATGGGAATTTACAATAATTCATTACACAACTACGAAAATATTGGGAACACAGATATATTTAAGCAGTAAGTACTTACAAAAGACACTAGCACAACCTTCTGGACTAGGGTCTGCTACAGCAATCTCTCTAGCTCTAGCCTGACCTCGGATTATAAGAAGTCAAGCACAACAATCCTAATCCCTCCAGTAGGATTCTGAACGCAAAGTCCCCACGGAAATTCTGGCCATACACTGTTTACCTACACTCTTCCAGGCAATTCGTCCTGCCTCACCCAATGTGGGGCATCTACACTAACACCAAGTTCTCACTGCGTAATTCCTATTGCAGAATGACACTCTTAAACAGTCTGGGAATACTCGTGAATCATGAACCATATCACCCCGAACCTCTTTGTTTATCCAGAGAGTACCCAAACTCAACACCAAGGAAACCAGCTGTTTGTTAATGAGGTACCATGACCTCTTACAAAGTCAAGTTCCCAAGGATCAACTCCCGTAAACACCCTCACAAGGTATGTACTTACTGTTAGGTGAACAGGGACTGAATGCCACTCACTCAGGAAATAGAATGAAAGATATCTGAGTTGTGAGACGAATGCTTTACCACCAAGCTAGAGCTCAGTAGTTCTTCACCAACAACTGCTAGCTACCCGAGAGACAGACATGAGAGCTCATAAGAGAAGACTAGGATACAAACCGTAATGATTAAGGCGAGGCTAAGCAGCAGGGCGCGAGCATCATACTTCAGCCACACCTGCAACCAAAATAAACACACGTTTAGCGCAAACAAACACCCCCTACACCTCAAATACTTCATACATAAATTTCAAGAGTATGAAATGGCACGTGCAAAAGAAAAAAAAGTCGCTGGTCAGTAGTAGGTTAAGATCAGAGCCAGGAGCTGAGACTAAACCTGTGTACACACCTCCACTCACCTAGCCATCTCTATCCACCGCCACCATTCACAACCAAAATAAATTACATTTTGTTTCTACATAAGAGCCAATTACTATTATATTTATGGTGCAGCTCTCAACTTATAGGAGCTACAGAAGTAAACAAGTTTGATCCGAAGGAGGAGGAGGGATTTCGAATTCTTTGGATCAAGAACGTTTCACTAGCATCAAGGCACCTTGACTGAAGGGAAGGCAGAGAGTATACAGTGTGGTGTCGACCCTTCGTACAAATGATTAAGAACACCTGCTGACTAAGAGTGGTAGTTTAGGTGCTGATGGTACGCACTTAAGTAACGTGGCCGTGATTCAGATGACGGTTATCAGTGAATCAACAAGAGGTCAAGAGCCCCTCAAGGTGCTGTGAGACACACTGGTGTTCACCTTAAGATGATATATCACAATCTTTCTTCAGCCACGCTTCATCCCCCTCCTTACCACAACTAAGCTGCTCCACTCACAAGAAATAAATCATATATTTTAAATAAACAGCCAACCAAAACAAAAAGCGACTTGAATTATTTATTAATGAATGCGATTGTGAATGAACTTGGACTAGAAAAATAATAAGAGACAATGGTGAACGTGACAGTTACTATATAGACTTTATGCCTTGTTGCATGACATATCCAACCTCCTCCATCCATTTCAGAAGCCACATTCATCATAATATATATATATATGCCCTCCACTGAATATACGAAGAATTTTCCCCAAACCCCTCATTGCTGACAAGAGTGAACTGGATAATTACCTGATCAGCCAGGCTGTGTTGCTTAAATTAAGAATGCGTGAAGGAAGCACCAACAGCCTGACTGTGCAAATTGTCAACCGGAAGATCGCATTCTATATACTACCTGCACCATAATCTCTATACGAAACGGCAGCAACACAATATTGCTAGCAGCAGAAGCTAACAGATAAAATTAAACTCCACCATAGTACTAATAGGCAGCGGCTACAATATCGTGCTAGCAAGAGTAGCAGGCTGCACCATCGTACTTGTATGCAAAAAAAGAGTAGCGGGCCACACTATCTTGCTAATATGCAACAGAGTAGCGGGCCACACTATCATCAGTGCTCAGGCAGTCATCAACAGTGAACAATAGGCGGATGTTAACAATCATTCTGAGGTACATGCTAACATAGTTAGCGCCCCATTATTTTCATTCTTGATACCGTATTTCTCACCATCTCAAGGGAAGCATCTTGGCACTTCCTTCCAAAAACACAGGTGAGGCGGTCAAACTGTGTTAACGTAACACACAGCAACCTAGAGATGTCTTTCATGGATGGAAATCTGATATGCTGGGTGATTACTTTCATTGCGGTGTTCCACAGGGGTCAGTTTTGGGCCCCTTGTGCAAGAAAGGTATAAAATACCGTTGTTAGGTAAGACATATGCAACAGTTAGGTATCTTTATTATGAAACGTTTCGCCTACACAGTAGGCTTCTTCAGTCAAGTACAGAAAAGTTGATAGAAGCAGAAGATACTTGAAGACGATGTAATCAGTCCATCACCCTTAAAGTTTTGAGGTGGTCAGTCCCTCAGTCTGGAGAAGAGCATTGTTCCATAGTAATGAAACAATATGGAGATGAAGTGACAGGATGGAGCTTTTTATAGCGCCAAGAGGTGAGACGTAGGCCACTAGGAGAGGTAAGAACTCAGATGCTGAGAGGTCAGGTCCCTCTCAAATCCAGCCGCTCTCACTAGTGGAAGTTGTCGAAGTTGATTGCAGGTCTGTACCAAGATACCCTTGTGTTGCAGTGTCTGACAGATTGAACATTATGTATAAAATACCGACAATATGAAAGTTAAGACGTTAAGATGTTGCACATGTGTCTTAACTTTCATATTTTGGGCCCCTTGTTGTTCACAATATGCATAAACGACACAGATGAGGGAATAAATAGCGACATAAGTATGCCGATGACACCAAAATAGGTAGTGAAATTCATCCTGACGAAGACATTAAAGCACTCCATTAAGATTTGAACAAGACTGATGCAATGGTCGGAGAGGTGGCAGATGCAGTTTAGTATAGACAAACGCAAAGTTCTAAACATTGGACAGGAAAATAACCATGCCACATGTAAACTAAATAATGTAGATCTTAATATTACTGATTGCAAAAATGATTTGGGAGTTCTGGTTAGCAGTAATCTAAAACCAAGATAACAGTGCATAAGTATTCCCAATACAAGCGAACAGAATCCTTGGCTTCATATCAAGAAACATAAATATTAGGAGTCCTCGGGTAGTTCTTCGCCTCTATATATCTTTGGTTAGGCCTCATTTATATTATGCTGCACAGTTTTGGTCGCCGTATAACAGAATGGATATAACTGCACTGGAAAACATACAGGGGAGGATGACAACGTTCATCCCATATATCAGAAATCTTCCCTATGAGGATAGATTGAGGGCCCTGAATCTGCACTCTCTAGAGATGCACAGAATTAGGGGGGGATATGACTGAGGTGTAAAAATGGAAAACATGAATAAATAAAGGGAATGTAAATAGCGTGCTAAAAATATCTAGTTATGACAGGACTCACAGCAATAGTTTTAAGTTGGAAAAATTCAGATTCAGGAAGGATATAGGAAAGCACTGGTTTGGCAACAGAGTTGTGGAAGATTGGAACAAACTTTCGAATATCGCCATAGAAGCTAAAACGTTATGTAGCTTAAAAAATAGGTTAGATAAATACATGAGTGGGTGTGGGTGGGTGTGAGATGGACCTGACTGGCTTGTGCTGGTGGGTCTGATGCTGTGTTCCTTCCCTAAGGGGATGTGACCTGACACGACTAGGTTGGGTCATTGGCTTAAGCCGGTGGGAGATTTAGACCTGCCTCGCATGGGCCAGTAGGCCTGCTGCAGTGTTTCTTCTTTCTTATGTTTTTGCCGACAAAATTACGAGAGCTTCAATAACGTTACACACATGTCTTTCTTAGAAAAATTCCCTTCCCAAATTGTGGATTGGTGTTGTGAATGGTTAGCATAACGGTATGACTAATTCTTCGACGTGGATAATATATCCAAAGTTATAGTGAATCTCTCTCCAGAGGGATGAGTTTCTGAAAGCCTAATAGAAGCCGGGAGACTTTAATGAGCAGTAAGGAGGACAATGGTAACGTCAAGCGGAAATACAGCAAGAACACCTCTAGAAGATCTGGTGATGCGGAGCTCCTTGCCTGCTACGAAAGAGCAGCTCACGTGAAGAATTTGATGAGGAAATGCTACCCAGATGACTACTTATGCCGCTTGACCTTTCTTCACCTCTCTTCCTCTACATCCTTGGTACTATTACCACCAACCCGGAGGCGATGGGAGGGAGTGAGGAAGGAGTAGGAGAGTTGTGGAAGAGAGGCAGGTATGTAAAAAAAAAAATGAAGTACCTTTGTCCTTTGATATACCTTTGGAGAGTTTCGAAAGTTTAACAAGCCTGGCCATGGGCCAGGCTTGTCTGGTGATTCCCTGGTCAACCAGGCTATTGATGCTAGAGGCCTGCTGCCCCACATATCCATCACAGTCTGGTTGATCTGGCACCTGGTGAAGATACTTGTCCAGTTTCCTCTTGAAGGCTAGAATTCTACACTTGTTCCAGCCGTGTTTCTGATATCTTCTGGTAAGATGTTGAATAGTCTGGGACCCCGGATGTTGATACAATGTTCCCTTATTGTCTCCACCACACCCCTGCTCCTCACTGGGTTTATTTTACACTTCCTCCCATATCTCTCACTCCAGTATGTTGTTATGGCAGTGTGCAGATTTGGGACCAGGCCCTCGAGTACCTTCCAGGTATATATTATCATGTACCTCTTTCTCCTACGCTCCAATGAGTACATGTTCAAGACTTGCAGGCGTTCCCAGTAATTTAGGTATTTTACTGACTCAATGCGAGCCATAAACGATCTCTGTATTTGTTCCAGCTCTGATATTTCTCCTGCTTTGAACGGGGCCGTCAGCACTGAGCAATATTCTAAATGCGGGAGCACTAGCGATTTGAAGTGTCACCATCGGCATTATTTCAATTGTTTTGAAAGTTCTCAATACCCACCCCGTCATCTTCCTGGCTGTCGTGATCTTTGTCTTATGTTCCTTAAAAGAAAGGTCAGCTGACATTATTCCCAGGTCTTTTACGTGTTCCTTTCATTCTATTTGGTGACTCTTGAGTTTTGTATATAGTGTTTCTTTTGAGTTCTTCATTCTTTTGATACCTAAGCAGCTGGAACTTATCACCATTGAACGTCATGTTGTTCTCCATTGCCCACTGGAAAATCCTGCTTATGCCCTCCCGTAATTTTTCAGTGTCCTCTACCGTAGTGACTTTCATGCTTTAGTGTCATCTGCAAATGATGATACAAAAGTGTGCCGGGTGTTTTTATCTATGTCTGCTCTGAGGATAAGAAACAGCAGAGGTGCCAGGACAGTGCCTTGGGGCACTGAGCTTTTGACCTCGCTGAAAATATATTTTTCATGATTTATCAAAATCGGGTATATCCGCAATTTGATAAATATAAAAAATCCTTTTATTCCCTTTTCTTCCTCATGCCTAATTTAGAGGCAGAAGGAAGAACAAGGAAGATAAGTTAGGTCATATTAATTAGGTTGTGATGATTACGAAGGCCTGAGGACTGCGACAGGTAATAACAGACTCGGCTGACCTGTCTGGCGGCTGTGAAAGTACGCAAATCCCCGAAACTGGGAAAAGGGCGGAAAGAAAATAGAAGGTAGAAAGAGGAGGAAGAAAAACAGGAGAGCGAAGAGAAGGAAAGACAAAATTGAGGAGAGAAGG